GAAGAATGTTATTCAAATTCAGGCAGTGCATTAGTGGCGTATATAAGGTAATTGTTTTGCACAAACCATTGAAAAGTTCTAATTAACATTTTTTTTAGGGTAATTTACCTCCCTGAAGACTTCTTACATTGAAGAGACAATATTCTGCCTTTTGTTACAGAACTGTTATACGCTTATCGTCATGGAGCGAGATTTTGAGAAGTCTATTTGTCTCGGGAGTGGAATATCTTTTTCCCTACTTTCATTTCTTATATCAGTTCTTAATGGTGTGACTTTGGTGGCATTATACAGAGACCCCCTTCGTCGCTTCAGAAAAACATTTTCCGTGTTTTTGATATTTATTGCTGCGATGGATCTGTTCGTTGGCATTGCTGTTTGCCCAGCAGAGGCTGTTATGAGGCTTAGGTGTGCATTTGGAGAAAATTTTTCTCCTACGGAGGGAGATTTCCCCAGAATAATGGGATACATTGGAGTTAACAGCTCAATTTTGCTCGTTACAGCTATGTCGGTCGATCGTTTCGTTTCTGTTGTGTGTCCTTATTTCTATCTTCGTAAAGTCAGACCAAAACACCTCGTCTTTTGTACAGTGATCATGGTTGTTTTCTCTACCACCTTCGCCTCTCTTCAGCTCGTTGATTTGTCTCGGGATGTTTACGTTTTAGTCGATATTCACTTACACACGACGTTTCCTCTTGTCGTAACTACAATGGCCTATACCGGGATTTTCATAACTTTGCGAAAGAGCCGCTCTCGCGTTGATTTGCAAAGACAGTCATCTATCTCTGAAAACCCAGTACTTAGCGACATACGCAGACTAAAAAACACCCAAAAACAGCATCGATGTGCCACAACTTCGTTTTTAATCTTAATTTGTCTGATTACTTGTCTGGTTCCCTATTTCGTCGTTGTTCTTATTGAAGCAAACTGCGACAGCTGCCACGATCAGAAATGGCTGTTGATTTCAAGAGTAACTTCCGTGATATTTCTGAACGTCAATTCTGCAGTAAATCCTATTTTGACTACATTTAGACTTAAAGAACTAAAGCGATCAATTGAAGTAGTATTATGTGGAAGAGAGAACATCAGTAATGTGGCAGATCTGGAAGATCGACATCTTCAAACTTCGAGAGCGCATTTATCCAATTGTCCACGTTAATCAGAGATGGAGGAATCATACGCACGGGAAAACCTAACTCCGATCATTTTTATCAAAATAGAAACAAAATATTTCAATACGCGACTGTATTGAATTGATGACTACTACTAAAAATTTAAAAACAGCCTCACCAAGGATACAAGGCCACAACCATAATATAAATCATTTGTCGAACGATGAAGCCTTACGTTAGTTTAGTTGTTTTTTTTTTTTTGGTTTTTTTTTTTTTTTTTTTTGGCCTTATCGCTCCACGCAAGTGTTTTAAAACCCTACGGCTTGCAGTTGAATAGACTCATTAGAGCAGGTGTGCATTGCCTAAAACGCCACTTCTTTGAGGCTAATCATCATGCATTAAAAGGAATCTTATTAACATTAACTCAGTCCACGTAGTAAATTCTGACGAACAAAAACAAATCCAACAAGCTGTACTTTCAATACGAGCCTTTTGAAATAGAGTGATCAATACCTAATATACTCTCACGTGTTTCAATGCATCGTAAAAAAAATTACTGCTTTCAGTCATATTTTAGGCCTTACTAGCGGCCTAAAACGTCAAATAATTGTAAATCGTTTCTGCGTGGTGCATTTATCAATAAAAGTGGACCCTGTTTATACTGCCAAAGACCCCACATATCTTAAATGAGCTATATTCATTTTTTTTCTTGGTCTGGAATCTTAAATCCTCGAATCTGATATTCCATTCCCCTTGGATGACCGTTTAAAACAGGTTTGACTGAAAGAGCACTTTACTGCTTCTGAATTGCATAGTAAATTTTTTTTTAATCTATTTGCTACTTCGCCAGAGGGAGAGATTTACAAAAACCGGTACGATTTTTAAAATTTTTTTAAATTTTTTTTCTTTTTTTATCAGAACAGTCATAACGTTTATCTATTTGCAATTTGGGTGTTCATTGATTTTAGGAGGACATTGAAATAAACGAACGTACACCAAACAAACAGTGAATTTAAACTTTTTCTTGGTTTTTTTTTTCCTTTTGGGATCCGACACAAGAACTGAATCAGAAGTTAGAAGTTCATCAAGCCTTTCTCTAGATAAACTATCGTAGGGAGATACGACGAATTACTGTAGCAAGAATAAATGAACATAAATAAAGTTGATACTCACCCATAAATCTTATCAACAATGCGTTCGTAGTCGATGATTGAAGAATGTTCATTTCTTCGAGAAATGATTTCCCCGCGGCTAAAAAAGCCAACTTAAGCCCGATGATGCACTCGCTATATGATAGAGTGTACTATATTACAGTCGGTATTATGGTTTGTTTATCTTCTATATCGTTGTGTAAAATTATCGCTCGTGAGTGCTTGATAGACCGGTATCCAGTAAATGGATGATTTCAGCTTGTATTTTGTTAATTTTTAGCGACAGTCAAGCTTTTAAAATGCAACATATTTTTCTCGATTTAGAACTGGCTGACATGTACAGTGTGAACGTCCGGTATTTCATTTCGCAGTTACACCACAATGTCATCTGAAGTCAGAACAAACATTTTCTGTTTGTTCTTGAATAGAAGGAAATTACTAATTTCAGACATTTCTTAAGAACTACCATTTTAAGCGTCGGGATTACTTTTTGAAATCTATCGCAGTTTTGCAGTAAACTCTTTAATCTCTCTTCTAACGGCTATCTTATTTACATGTCATTCCTATTTTACTAACTTTTTTTGCCTAAAGCAAATTTAAAATGGGCATAAGCTTTTTCTGCCATTAGAAACCTGCCCCTGACAGCCCATTTAAGTTCAAACTTAAAAAGTTAGAAAAAGCAATACAAACGAATAATTTAAAACGAGACCAAAATTTTGTAAATTAAAAATGATGCACAGAGAAAGTCACAGTGGGTAGCAATAGCAGCGCGCTTATAAGGATCCTTAAATGTTTTCCTTGTTTTCTGCATTTGTAAACCAAAAAGAATTAAAAGTCATGAAATTGGAGAACTACTACGTTTGTTTCTTGATATACACGAGTGTTTTTTGGGACAAACTTCTTCAGTGCAGTGCTTTTCTCGCGCCGATAAACCTTAACTCGCCAGTAGCATTACGCTTGAAATACCCTTATCATGATATCAAACCCTGAAAAATTATTTCCGCCCAACACGGAATTTTCTTTTCGGAAAATATTCGAACCTACAGGAAAGGATACGTATAACAGGAGCACATGATCTTATATGAATTGTATGTCCAAGATCCTGAAATACATACCAGCCTTGCAACTTACTTCCCCTCCCTTGGTTTTGCATTTAAAATAAGGTATCCAAACCTCCTCCCCCCCCCTCCTTGGGGACAAAATTAAACAAAATAGACGTGACTTCATTTGTATATTCCTGATAGTTTATATTTCCTCAAAGGTGTTTCGGTGATAAACAAGAAGTAGCAAATGCGAAAAATCGCTGTAAGAGTTGCCACTTGTGTATATGCATTCATGTTGTATCTATCGATGCCGACTTTTTCTCCAACTAGTTTTCATTCCAACATTTCAAGCAATACACTTGATCAAACATTTCGACTCTGAGAAATTTGAGAACATTCGTCATTTTCCTGACATGGATACAAAAAAAAAAAGGAAAAGAAAAAAAAAATGTGGTTTTAAAAAATAATGATGATGACTAGATAGGTGAATATGTATTTATTATACATTTGTTTATTTATCCATTATTGCTATAGGAGCAAATATACTGTGTCACATTCAATTTGATTACGTATCTGACTTACAATATGGAACACGAAAACAGATTAAAGAAAAGACGTTAAAATCGTTGATTAATATGTTTAATACAATTTATAGGCAATCAAGCTTTTACACAGTTTTTTTTTCTTTTAATTTTAGGGCGAACCTTAAACTTAACAATAAAAGTACAAACATTGCAGTTGACTAACTTCAACGGCTTGGAATGTAAAGCTTTTCTACAAGAATAAAATTTAAGCAGAAATATCTTAAGAAGGGCGCAAACCGAGTGAGATTTATATCATTGTATCCGTTCCATTAAAACGAGGGTCCAAGCATGTACTATTGTTGTTGGCAGTACTGTCTCCAATTTATCCAAGCTACCTTTGCAAAGAGCCTACTTCCTATGGAAACAGATAGACCCATGATTTACCAGGATGCCGAATGCGGCCCTTCGTAATAACAATTAAAGTCAACAGCTAACAGCACTATATAAGCGGTTCATTTATGTATTTACGTCATTACGATAATGACCAGAATGGCCCTACCTTTAGTGAAGGGGGGGGGGGGGGGGGGGGGGGGGGCATTGGGGTCTACGAAACCGCAGAACTGAAAAAAAATACATTTAAAACCGCAACAAAAATTCGCTTAAAGCCGAAAATCGCATCCAAAACCGTCTAAACCGATTTTTCACATCCTAGTTGCCAAAATCCTAATCGATCCAATACAGATGACAGATGGAGCACAAAGAGGTCTCACAGCTATGGAGGCAAAAAGATTGCCGCTCAGATCAAAGAGGAATTGGAACCCAAATAGGAAAAGCCAAAACTACTTCGGACTCCAAATCTGAAAACCCATTAGTATTTTTGACGAAAACCGAAAACCAAGTGCCAAAACTCGGAAATCTGCGAACCACAATAAACACCAAAACTGTAAAACCGAAGTTTGTTTGGCACAAAACCGAAAAACCGATCTAAAAAAAATGACGAACACCGCAAAACCAAAAATCCCAATCCCCCCTTCCTTACTGATACTATGATACTAACCAGGCTCTACTAAGGAATTACTGAGGGAAGGTCATGCTAAGTGATTGCAAATCGCTAAAAGATGATTGAAAATCGCTAAAAGATGATTGACTAGCTTCACTGAGGCGCAGTGCTATTTATGTATCGAAAGACTGCATTTCGACTGCCCGTATTTTCCCGGCATCACTTGCGTTAACTCGTGAGCTCTTCCTTGCAGAGTTTCCAACTTCGGAAGATGGAAAAATTGCGTTCATCCTCCTTTTCAATCGCTCTTTAATCTGTAGATGAACAATTGGCCAAATATCAGTTCTTAACCATCCAAAGCTTAGCGATTCTAAAGTCTTCACAATTCACTTGATCTACCTCCCCTGTTTGATATCTTTCTTACCTGGCTGTTTCGCACACAATGGAAGAAAAAAATCAGGAATCCCTAAGACAGAAAATTATTTCAAGATCAGCCTTTTTTAGAGATGGCAGAGCGTCGTTTAAAAAGTTTGATGTTGTGCAAACATCTTGTAATCTCTATCTTGAAATCGTCTTTAAAAACAGGGTAAAACAGTAAATTAAGGGAAGTTGCAGATCTAAAAAACCAAGAGGTAAATCCCCTCTTGTCGACTAGGTTACCTTTGAACGGGAAATATCATCAGCTTAATGTAGCAATGTAGTTTGGACATTCAAGTTTGCAAACAGATGATTAGATTTCCGACAGTCTCATTTACATCTCACCTGAATCGAATTGACGATGGTGAAAATGTAGGCGAAAGCTTTTTGTGATGACGACAAAAGACCGAATACTCACCTGAGTTGAGTTAAAGATGGTGAAAATGTAGGCGAAAGCTTTGTGTAATGACGACAAAAGACCGAATAGCCACGTTATACCCATCAGTGGAATCATCACCGCGCATGTTTTAAAGCCAAGTCTGCCGGAATAACGACAACGTTAAAAAAAAGTTTGAATTATTTGATTGTTTCCTGTACATGATCATGAATTAACCTCTTTATTAAATAAGTAATTAATTTCTCACTGTTTATTGCTAACTAGGGTGGAATTGAGGCAAATACCTCACAACTAGATGTTACAGCGATTGGTTCCCGTTTATTTAACTTTTTTCCCTCCACTGATTAAAATATTCCGCTAACTACAAATTTTAAATCTCACCGTATCTGCTTGATATGAGTGTCTTCCCCCATAGGCTGCACTAGCGTGGTCATCTCTTTTATGACTCGGACGAGAATCAAAATGTTGAGCTGAAACAAACAAGGAATGTCAAATATCGGCAGAGTGATTGTTGCTAAGACGAGTAATGCTGAATACATTGTGGGCGTAAATGGAGTTGAAAATATTGTGAGCTTTGAGCCTGGTGGTCGAAAACAGAAATGTGCTTTTCGTTTTGTAATAAGCATGGGAACAAGAGAGACGATCTCCACCGGTGGTCAGTTTTGGCATTAAAAAGGAAAGTGGGAGGGACTGACTAATTGTAGACTCACCACTTCAACAAAAGCCATAAATGCGGCGAATATCCAGATGAGGTTGTTTGTGTAGGATAGCCAGCAACTTTAAACGAGAAACGGAGAGAAAAAAAGATAAACATATTTTTGCTGCAAATAATCCTCTAACCCAGTAACCCAGAGAAAGAGAAGAGAGGGAGGGAGGGAGACAGAACGAGAGACAGAGACAGAGACACAAAACCTGGATAAAAACACAGGGACACAAAAATCTACGAAATGAAAACGAACTAAAAACACAAGATTGTGCAAAAAGAGTTGTACTTAAAAAAAAACAAAAAACATTTTTGTGGGAGACAGGAAGTGTGGAGAAGGAGAAAAAAGAACTAATGTCGAAGGATTCTCTTACTATTTATCACTAGTGAAGCTTTCTATTCCATCTTTCCCAGCAGCGATGCACAATGAAATACCGACCATGACGATGGGTAAACCTAAACATAAGTAGGATGTCAATGCAAGTCGATTCAGGTGATCATGAAGTCAAACAATTCAAAACAAGTAAAATGAAAATACCCCATGACATGACGTGATACATGTGCATCTTTTCGGTGATATTGTAAACTTTCACCACAAAGAGGTAGAGGTAAAATCCCTCCACCAGCATCCAACAGAACGAAGCCATCAGGAAATATTGCATGAAAGCTGCAGCTGTAATACAAGAGGCCTGAGAGAGAGGAAAAAAAGTTGACTACTTTTCATGCATCTTTTCAAAGAGATCTGGTGTACTTCTTCATGCTCGTCTTGAGTCTCGTTAAACAAATATTCATCAATGGATGAAGAAGTCGCTTACCTTGTTTTTTGTGGCGTTTATCCCGACGAGAAAAATAAATTGTCCAGCTCCGAGGGCAACAGAAAGACTCAATCGTATTTGTGACAGAGGCTGGTGAACATCTCTAGAGAAACAAACAAATAAAAACAAGCAGACTAAAACAAAAACAAAACCGAACAAAAAAAAGGAAAGTAACTTTATGTTCCAACAGGTAGTTGTTTCAATATGCATTGACTGAGTGTCTGTCTTTTCGCGAAGAGGTCTTACTTACGTCTGACATCTTTAAAATAATATAAAGTTTCAAAATTTCTGGCTGTAGCACTTACGTAAGGAAGGAATATAGAATAACTGTCAAAATTATTCCTATGATTGACAGGCTTAATCCCACGTAGGTGATAAACTCCAGAACAGTTTCGTCTTCCTCAGTGAGCTGCTTCATAAATGGCATGAAAAGAATTAGAAATGTGTCAATCACCTCAAAGGAATTGTATTACCACTAGTGAAGGTAAGGAAAACATTAGTCCATTACCCCTGAGCTGCCGTTGTAGTCAAGTAAGACAGCAAAATGAGTCAAATGATTGCAGCTGCAAACTTTTTCTTCTGTGTTGCTTTGCGATGCAACCACATGGCATCCTCTCCCTGAAAATTCTTCTGAGCTGGAAAAATAACGACAACGTTAAAAAAAATAACACAACAAAATTAAAACAATAACAACAATATTATAAAAAAAATTTTGAAGAAGACCTTTGGTTACCAAAAGGTCAGCTTGCTATCTTCCTCATTATAATCGTAGCCTCGAGACCAAGTTGACCACTTTCCATTTTATTCAGTAATTGATATGTGCTACTCATGAAGTCGGCTTTGATATTCTAACTGTTACAATGTGATGAAAAGGTATATTGACGATCCAGGCTAGTAAAACACAACTGAATCTTACCTTATGTGAAGAAAATTGAAAAACCGAAAAACAGAAAAAAACCAAAGGCGAACTTTTACTTTTACGGTAAACAAAACGATTTTGTCAGCAACAATATGTAAGACGATGGCAGAAGCGAAAAAAGGCGACAACCGCAAATGAAAACGAATAAAATGCAGATAGAAATGGCTTCAAAACAGGAAGTATCAGATTGACAGTGACGGATAATTGATAACTTAAGGGAAAGTCATGCGGCATAATAATAAACTGGGGGCTTTTCCACTCGAATGTTGTCGAAATTTTTTTGGTTTTTCCTGCTGCAAGAGCTGATTGGTGTTTCCTTCACAAACAAAAAATTCATAGCGGTTAACAAAGATTACGTAAGCCTAGCTTGCATAACTTCTAGAACAAGGTAGTAATATATTTCAGCTTGTTACCTTTTGCTAAAGCCCCTCCAAAATACACATGTCTTTTCTCTTTCATCAACCTGAAAATGTGTATTATTTCCTTGGAATAAATAAACACAATGTAGCGCAATTGATACCAATTTTAATCATGTTCTTACCTTCAGGTTTCTGAACTTTAACATGACATTCGCTTCCAGTTTGTTTGGTTTTGGATCCATAGCCACGGCCATTATCCTGGAGTTCAAATACCTGTCAAAAAAAGACAAGAAAATCATAATTTTGTATATTTTAAATGATATAATTTTTAGACAATTTTTGACGATACAGTAACCATGGTAACCAAAGAGCTCTTACTGTGTTACTTTAAGCTGATTTCCTTGACACCGAAAATAGTCATTGATTCACACAGGGCCCACGAAATACTGCTTTGAAAAATTTAAGAAATTTTGTTGGTTGAATGCAATGCATTTCTTTGTTTTCCGCGGAAGAAACAATTTGTTTAAAAGTTTAGAGAAGTTAAAATTCACCTTGTGGCTTCGCCTGCTTCATTTCTGATGGTTTGATTTGTGTCCAGTAGTTCGTGGAGATCCTTATACACAATCCCAACAACCAGTGAAACTTAAAAAAAGAAATTGAGGAAGAAAAGAAAATCAAGCCAGAACATGGTCTTTCACGAAACTTCAGATAACTGAATCAAATGTACTGTGTAAACAAACAAACAAACTCAGAACTATGTATATGCGCAGCTGTACTTCAGTACCACGTAAATTTGTAAGGGAAATACAGGGAATTGTACTTATCCATTGAGGAGTAAACACTGCAGTCGATACCAACCGGATTTCGCAAAATTTGCAGACGAAACATTTATGTTTCCTTGCGATTCTTCATCCTCAAAGTAGAAGTCACTTGCATTTTGGTGGTAGGCTTTATGAATACCCAGCACTAACGAAGAAAACAACAGGTGATGGTATTAATAATTTCACGACACTTGCTGGACTGAAAATACAGTCTGTATATCATAGTTGCATAAACGCTTTTATTTACTTTACCTCTCAACAGCGCAATCCTTTAAATATTGTAAAATAATTGATGACAAGACGTCAGCATTTTGAAGGGTTCAGATCGCTGGATATTATCATCCAATTCCATAATGATTGATGAACACAAATAGTCAATGGAAGGACTGCATGGATCGATTGATCCAGCAATAAAGCTTCGCATTCAGTAACCTATATCAGTTTACTACATCATCAAGGCCTATAGATTATACGCTGTTTAAACTCACCCATTGTCTGGCTGTCGATCACTTGTGAGGACCTTGTTCCAGTCAGGTGGAGCTTGCTGTATTTAAGAGCAAATTCTTCAAAGGCGATAGCCACTTTAAAAGTGGATCCTCTTCTTGTCTCAATCTCATCTGTTATAGGGGCGCGGTTACGAGCTTTTGTGATTTTTTTAATACCTGTGATGAATATTTCCAAAACCGCTATGGCTTCCTGTAATGACATGAAATATTTTTGTTTAGGTAAGGTGCTAAGCATTTGTGGTAAGAAAATAAAAAAAAATCATTACAAATAGATAAGAAAATTATTCAAGCGAGAGAGCCAACCAATTTCGGACACAAATGCATGTGCACAGGTTAGAGATCGACTAGACCAGGAAATCAAAATATTTTACTTGGAGGATAGATTACTCAGTTTTCGTCTACGAATTTAAAAAAAAAATAACAATCATACCGATAATTACGATAATAATAATACTGATAACGATAATTTATCTATAAAAATTCCTAAAATAGCTTTCTTACAGGCGAGAAAAACTATACAGGTTAACGTCTTAATCAAGTAAAAAGTTATGAGCCATTAATCTTTTACTGCCACGAGCAATATGAGACGAAAGCAGAAAAACTAACAAACAAACAAAAAATTATTTATACGCTTAATAAAAATTCGTATTTGCGGATTCCGTTTGAACATTCAAAACATACTGACTGGAACTTTAGTTCAATAACTGCGTATAGAAATTAGAAGAATGAAATACCTGTAAGGAACTGGCGTTGGTGATATTCATTCTGCTAAGTTTAGAAACATATTCCGCCGCCTGAGGTAAGGGAAATAACAGTTATAATTATAGAGTATGAGGATCCTAAAAGTAAAAAAACAAAACAAAACAAAAACAAAAATTACACACCAGCTTTTGAATCCTTGTTGACTGCAACGCCGATGATGATGTCGATGGCAATAATGACTGCGATGGCGAGAGCGCGGACGAAAGCAAGTGAAGAGGTGACCGCAACGAAGGAAACTGAGACTGTGACTGAGGTGACTGTGAAAAAGGTGACTGAGACATCGACAGAGACAAAAACTGAGGCATCGACTGCGACGGCGTCTGCGACACAGACAATGACGGTGATCGTGACGGCGAACGCGATGGAATCAATGATGACCACAGAACTGGCGATGGAGTGGGTTGTGGCCTTATAGAATCGGATGGTGGAGATTTTTCTGCAATTTTGAATGAGAACAATGGTGGTGCAGCTGAAATCGACACAAATAACGCCAACAATAATTACTAAAGAAATGTTCTCAGAAACAATTTTTTCCCATATTGTTTTCTATACTACATTTAAGTTCAATTTATATTCAATGACAGTTAAGTGCTATACCTGAGTACATAGGATATAGTGTATAGTATATAATATCATACCTTGCTTTGACGGCGACAGCGATGGCGACAGCGACGGGGACGGCGACGGCGGCGGCGGCGGCGACGGCCATGGCCCTGGCGACGGCAATGGCCCCAGCGACGGCGATGGCGAGAGCGGTGGCGATGTTGCTGTTTAAGGTGGATGAGAATGTTAATCTTCGATTAGAACGACATGTCAACCGAGCTTTTTTTTTTACTGTGTACAGTTTTCCTCCTGGCACAAGTTTTTTATATTTTTCAAAATATTGGGTAGCGAGTGACACGAAACGCAGAGGGCGTAAAGGTTCGTAATTCAAGCTTGTCACCGTTACTCAATTTACAAAACTTGAATGAAACGGATATTTTATAATAAGTGGACGCTAGCGAGGACCTTTTTGATTTCCTTTCAACGCAGGTTTTACTAAATGTGTTATAACACCATAAGTCGCCACTGTTACGAAATACTTTACCCGAAGTGTGCTAAACGAACGGACGCTATTGGAATACATTACAAATACTTCGAACATCCCCATTGTTAACGCTACTATGAGAAGAAAAGACTAATAATCACATTACCGCATTAGGGTATTATGTTGCACTAATGACATCATAACATTCAGATAACCTGTAACAATATCACAGCGTTTAGGTATTGTTTTCTCGTAAATGATATTATGGCATCAGGGGGCCGTGCACAAAGAATAATAACATTAACCAGAAATTTTGGACTCATCTGATAAGAGTAGTGGTTTGTGGCTTTTGCAAGAGCCTCGTCGATTAGAGTCCAGAGTTATCGGGATATGAAAGGGTCGCATTTAACTTGTTGTATCATTTCAAGTTTAAATATGTCCTTTCCGCTCTTTTTCTCACAACGCACACGCTTAACAACTTACCTCCTATCTTAATTCACGACTCATACACAGGAGGGGGTGTGCAGATCGAACTAGGAGCGTGAGTGCTTCATGCCGTCCGACAAAGGTACAGAGTACGATAAACAACTAGTTACAACTGAATTACTTCTCGCGCAAAAAAACATTTTGTGTGCCGACGCGTGACAAGAAACCCAGAAGACCCAGTGGAAAAAATGGGAACGTATTCCCTATCCTAATGCTGGGCACCAACCTCTGAGGGTTAGAGGTAAAACAGGCTAAATTATGTGAAAAAATTAACTTAAAGCTCGAAAAGTTCGAAAAATGAGATGTATACATTACAAATGTCAAACCTTCTTTTCGAACTACAGCAATATATCATATATATTAAAATAAAATAGAATAAACACAGAACTGATTCCGCTATGCGAAGAAAAAATAAATTTGCAAGTCTTTTGTATTCGTTTTATAAAACGATAATTGGCATGTATCTCAACAGACATGAGTCCCTGGCATGGCTCTTTGCAAAAGATAACGCACTTCACGTCATCACACGTTGTTATCTAAAAAAGCAATTGAACTGATATTTCTTCGCAATTGGTATTCACCATCATTTTGTTCAATCGAAACAATAAATTAACTACATGAAAATAACTGATAATTGAAAGTTTACTGTTATTACTGGTAACAGAACCATATGTAATTTTCCTCTGCTCACAAAGCTAAAAGTTAGACATATGTATCGTGAAAACGTTAATTGATATCGTTTCAAACATATTTTCATTCATTCAAATGTTAGTGTAAACTTGATTCTGACTGTCAGAGGGTTTATGTAAATCCTTTCATAAGTTCCACAAACGATATCAAATAATGTTTTTATGATGCCTAAGCGCTTCTGTTGCCGTTAGTTTCCTCAAAATAATATTAAAGAAAGCAAACAAACAGAAAAAAACAAAACAAAACAACAACAAAAATAACAACTTACCCTCGGAAATCTCACAAATATAAGCGTGGTGATATCCTATACTTGTGCCATTAACACCACCAAACACGCCCTGCTCCCCATTACTGGACCGCTTGTACATGAAAGCCGCGTCGTGTTCACCTCTTGGCTCCCCTTGTTCCCATTTGCAAATAGTCAGCGGTCTTCCATTCACCCAAGTCCAATTCCCGGCCTTTTTTGTTAAACCAATATTCCACTTATTTTCATATTGCTCAGTATTTCGCCTTTGAATCTGGTCATTGATGAAATTCCATTCGTCTTCGGTTTCAATGGAAACTAGGTCCCCTCCTTGGTTTTGGCAGGTTTTTCTGGACCAGAGCCAGCTATAGTGGAACCTTTCAGTTTCGCGCACCGAAATTATGTACCAAGAGTTTTTAAAAGTTATATTTAGGCATTCTACAAAATGATAAAAATAAAAGCAAAAATACTAATTATCATAATGATAATCAAAGTGATAAATAATAATAATGATGATGACATAAAAAGATTAAAATCACAATCACAATAAAGGAGAAAAATAAATGAGAAAGAAAACGGGACTTATTTTTCATATAATTCCTTTTTTTTTTTACAGTTTTATGATTTTTTTTATATGATTCCTGTTTTTTTTTTTAACACCTCCAGTTTATGTTTGATCATTGTCAATTAATACTATACATCTTTCTTCCTTACGGCGTCCGCCATCTCTAACCTGCTTTTCTGAATTAGTTAACTTCACATCAGCTAAGATTATCTGTGAGTTCATGTAATTTTGGTAGTCGAGTTTTTGAAAATTAATTATTTCCTTGTTGAGCTGACACCACCCTCACCCCGCCCCCTATTCTTCCTCCCCCATCTGAACAGACTTAAAAAACGTAAAATTAAATGTGAATGTAAGTTCTTATAAATGTGCAACTGGAGATACGCAGTTCACCGCATACAGTTGTTATGGGAAAGGTTGTGGAAAAAACAAAAACAACAATTTAAAGTACATGCGACAAAATCAAAAGATTATCTAGGTGGCGGTAATCAACATTGACATGTAAAGTAAGTAAAGATAAATTAATTAGGGTTTGCTTGTACTTTTTTTTCCGTTTTTCATGCAGTTTGGAATTTAAAGTCAGTCGTATTAAAAACAGGTTCAAACCCGTGATGACTCGTCCTTAAAATGACATTTTCTCAGATTTCCCTGAAATCCTGAGGTCGTCTGACCATGACCTGAAAGCCACCCACAATACCTGTCAAGGTTATCGCTTGCACTTCTGACACGCTTTTTCCCGAAAACTTCTCCCAAAAGAGCTGTATTTATTATTTGTTTTTCTAAGAGGGCACGGTAACGAGTCCTGCAATCTTTGTGGTTCTTAATGCGGTCCGGATTTTCTTTTGTCTGCTCAGCGGCACTGCAACGCTTGCTCGAGTCGCTAGCTGCAACCTTAGCTTCGTTGCCTTTTTTCATAAATATATTTCGCTTTGCCAGCTGAGAAGTATTTTTACGTAAATCACTTTAAAGCAAATCAAGCTGATTAATTACTTATTAATCCTCTCCTTCTCTTTCTCAAGTCACTGTGGCTGCCGGCAAAAATAATGGTTTTGAAATGATTTTTGGTAGCAAATATGCCATTAAATGGGTTGACACGCGGCATAAAAACCGTTTGTAATTAACCTAGACCTTCACTAGAAGTAACTCAGGAAGTTAGAACGTAACGTATTTGTTTAAAATTGAATTAATTGATGGGGTTTTCATTCATTTTATATCTGAAATCGTTCAAACAATTTGTTCATTAAAAAACAGTGAGCGATATCTTCAGTTCTATACTTTAAATACGCTTTCGGTAAGTCTTTGCAAGTCCGCTCAATATGGACATTTGTACCGTAAACTTCACAACAGAAAATGAAGGAATTCAACGAGAAAAAGCGGCATTAAAATTCCACTTTTGACAAAAGACCAGATTTACACACGCGATTGCACCAAGTAAACGAGCAAACTCCCTCAATCTCGAAACAGATTTAAATTTACTTACAATTACTTTCCATTTACCGACTGAACAGAGCTATACTTCGTTCATCAATAATTGATGGAAGAAAAAAAAAATTCCCATGACAGACATTGAACTTAAGTTTGTTTGCCAAACCAGTGCCGTTGATGTTGTTGTTGTTTTCTTTTTTTAAAGCGTGCATACACTTTTGTTTCTTACACGCTCTCTACTTTACAGGTGTCAGGTTGTGACAGATAATTGTTAAAAAAAAAGTTTCAAAGTTTGTTTGGAAGCCTTTTAAATCACCTTTTCCATTACACAAATAAAAATATTTCGGTAAAGCCTCTATTTAATTTGCATTACCTCAGTCTGTTTCAACTACCATTTACTCGTTCAAAAATTGTTCAGTTCATGGAGGATCTTGCCGTAATTACAGCCCTAAATCATTAGGGTTCTTTTGGAAAATATTTCGTTGAGTTTAAAAGAAAAAAAACTGTTATTCATAAGCTAAGGTCGGGAAAAACTGTGCACTCTGTCTTCAGTACCGGTACTCAAGACCTTGGGCATACGTACTTCGATGCGTTATGTTTAAAAGAACACGGATTCACTCACTGACGTCAGTGATCACGCCTTGTAACTTGTGGCAAGGGAAAATTCCGTTGGTTAGATTATCCCAATCTCAGCGCGCTCGACAAAAGTTGTGAAATGTACAGTTTCCATCGCTGTTTTCCAGCTGCAGGCGATGCAAAAAAGGGAAAATCCCAGGGTGATCATTTTTTTTCGAAACATATGTCCCCGTTTTTGTCATGGCCATTATGTTCAACTACTGATACACGCTTAAAAGTTCATTCGTCGCTCACACGTACAAGTTAGGTGAGCCGAGCATATTATGTGAACAACATTTTTACTTTTAAGAAGCAAGAGAAATTTTCCTGACACAAGTGCAAGACTGCAATGTTTCAGCACATAATATACTTTATGGTTGGAATGTGATCTTACCTCCGGGCATCTCGCAAATGAAGGCGTTTTTATCGTAACAAGAGATACCATTAAAGAGGCCTCCATTCTTAGATATTTCCGCGCAAGGGTCGTTACCATCTGGCTGAGAATCTCGCCATTTCGAAATATTTAGTTTTTCTCCACTATTCCAAGTCCAAACTCCGCGATACTTCTTTAAACCAATGTGCCACGCACTAGTATTCGAAGTACCACGCTTTTGAATCTCATGACTGATAAACTGCCATTCTTCTTCAGTTTCGATGGAGACTAAGTAACCTCCCTGGTATCTACAGACCCAATAGTTGTCATACCAATCTCTTCCGCTTTTCGAAAATATGTAGGATGAGTTTTTGAAACAGGTTGCTTGGCACTCTATGGGAAAAAATTAAAGGAATAAATAAACGAAAAAAAATGTATACTGATTGTAACAATAGTGATAATTCTGATGATGGAGACAAAGGAATAAATAAATAAACGAAAAAATGTATACTGATGATAACAATAGTAATAACGATAAAGATGGAGAAGAAAAAAAAATATACCATTAATGATAAAAAAACAATGGGCATCAAAACCCTCTACCTCACCGAAGGAAAAATTAGAATTAGGCAAGGTTTTAAAAGTGGAAATTGGGGAATCAGGGTAATAGCACCGTTAGTCTCTGACTTTTTTGTTTTGCTTTCCAACTAAAGTTTTTAATCGCAAAACGATGTCATTCCAGCAGGAAGTCTGACTAATTATTTTGATAATTCAGTCAGATCCTTTTTTTCCAGTTCATTTTAAGATACTTAAATATTAAATTGTAATTACACTGCCTCACCTGTTCCTGGCAATTCCATCATCAAATGAAGGATGACTGTAGAAGAGAAAATGGGCAAAGTATTTTATTGTTATGTCGAAAATAACTTTTGAAACGACCAAAGAGTTTTTTAGATTTCAAGATATACTAGTACTAAAGCATTTTAATTGTTAAAGAAATTGAAAGAAAAAAAAAATGCAGTGTCTCCGCAAAAGGCTGAACAAAACTTGTTGCATATCGAAAACATGTCAAAGGGATTCGTTTGGTTGGCGTTACTCGCAGACGTAACTTGGAAAGTATTATGTAAAGGGCAAAGGAGGTGAATAGCGAATACCGAAAAGTACCAGGTGAAATTTCCCAGTTGTTCATAATGTTGTTCTGCTTATTCAAGGCATGACAAAAAAAGAAAAAAAAAAAGAAAACAATCTCTGTTTTTCATGGAGTCGAGCATTACCAGCAAACAGAAAAAAAACGTTTACGACTAAAGATGTTGATAGCGGTGGCGTGCTGCAAAAAGTATTATTTGAAGAATAATACGCAAAACAGGTTCAATCTGTCATATATCTCTTTCCTTTGATTTTGTTTACTTGAAGCTCAAAACTAATATGAAAATGAAAGAAAATTGCGGTGAAAAATGAAAAAGACTCGGTTTGTAACTGTGCCTCGAATTAACCGGGATGGGCGCTGATTGCATTGGGCAAAGACTTCACATGCTCGGAGCAAAGCAAATACTAGCGTCTCATAGCCTTGTTTTCCATGAATTTACCTAACTGCCACTGACAGTTGAAGATAATTCCGTCATTCTCTTTATCGGGAGGTCAAACATATGGATTAGACATTTAATTTAAATTCAAAAAGTTCAAAATTGTCACTTCTCGGAATAGATAACTTTAAATAAATGCACCCTACTCGATGAGGAAGTTTTGCAAGTCGCGCGGTATTATTCCAAGTCAAGAGAGTGCCGTTGAGAAACCATTAAAGTGTTCTTTATGACCATCAGAAAAAAGTCTGGTGTGCTCAGAGACTTGCTACTTGAAAAAAAAAAAAAAAAAAAAACCAACAACAGCGTTAATTCCGGTTTGTTGGGTGCAACCTTTTTGTTGTTCCGCTTTCCGTCCGTATTTTTGCGCTGTTGTATAACGCAATACTGTGGGAAATTGTGCATGTTCATTGCCCAAATACGGCAAGTGGCGCAGTAGTGGAGTTATAAAAAGGTATATTTTGCAACAATGAATTAAACGACGAGGAACTGTGTAACTGAATGAATCTGAATGAATCTTTATCTAGATTTATAAAATTGAAACTATGCGTACCGAATTCTTTGAAAAAAAAAAAAAACTTTTGACACCGATGTTTAATGCCAAATTTATCATGAGATCGATGAAAAGCATGAAGACGGTACTATGTTTCATTTTCTCTTTTTCTAACTGGAGTGGAATTTATTAATTAACTGTCTGCGGGGTTTTTGCGTCCGTTTAGAGAATAATATTCTACAACTGAAGCCGATAAAAATGTCGAGCAAGCAGGGAGTTAATTAAAAGGGACATAAAAGGTAGACCCGTCAAAAGCTGAACTGTCGCTGACGGCATTCATTTTAAAAAACTTTGTCCAAACTTGCCTTCTGTTTACCACAGTTATCGTTTTCTATGTAGCGTGTTCATAAAATAAGCTCAAATGCAACTCCCATTTCTATACATGCAAGATTGCTCAAGGAAAACGTCTGAATAAGTTTTAGTCGACGAATTTAATTCGTTTTTTCGCGAAAGAGATCGTACATGGTTTTTGTGTATTTCTCGGGTGACATCTTGTCACACCAACTTCAGAATTGAAGGTAGGCAACTATGCTATTATGTTCCTGCAACACTTCGTAATATTTCTGACAGGTTTTTTATTAAACATCAATTAAGCACAACAATCGTGAATTATAACTACCATTTCAATTTTAAAACCGGAAAACTGTTTTATCGTGGTCAATTGTATCCAAATCATTTTGCGTCTGAACAAAACTAAAAACTACACTTGTAAACAAGTTAAAACATCTCTCCTCCTTTTTTAATCTATATGTTTATTTTCATTACCTTTATTACTTTCAAGTATTATAAAACTTAAGAACACGTGTTACCAGAGTTCAGTTTGAGGGAGAAAGCCCAGTAGAAGCCACCGATAATATCATCTTATTTCCGGTTGAATTTCGCTTGGGGTTACAGGATGTTCCAATACCGAAATATTTATATCTAACCAGTCACTATTTACTTAACATTTCCATGGAATGACCAGAAGATATAGTGGACGGTGCAAAAACTATATAAAAAGTTACAAACTCAGCATTTAGCCAGTTGTTTTATATGATAAAACTCAAGAGCAGACGTTGTCAAGTCCCATTGTTTTGTTATAAGAGAAATTAATACTTGCCACGTGACTTACGTCTCTCTGGTTTGAAGCGGCCGAGGGTAGCAGGATGCCCCGATACCGACATATTGATATCCCATCATTCATTTTTTAATTCATAATCTTCTTTATTTCTAAAGCATAATCAAGAGAAGTAGTAAAGCTTGTACTTACTCAGCGCACAACGTAAAGACAGGGCTGTGGACATTTTGCTGGATTGAATCCCTCTCATCGCACCACCCATCAACTTACTCAATCAGAAGTTGCCGTTAGTATATGTGGACACCCTTGTAATGGTCCGCGACTTAATAAAATCACAAGAGCGGCAGATTTTAGACAACGTTTTTTAAACTATTTTATAGGACGTTAGTGTAATAAACATCACTATCGACCACTCTTTGCTGACATAAGCCGCGAAAGTTCTATTTTTCCACTCGTAAACGGACCAATGAGACTAAAAGCTCTTTGTACCAGATGCAGAATGCTGTTTTACTTAACAAATACAAGTGATTCACGACACGAAAATAGCTTCATCAAGCTAAAGTTTTCTTAACGTGGATATGAAAATGGGTGTTTAAAAAAATTTTAAACAACTCAAAACTAATCAGGATCCACTTTTATAGGTAGTTGTTATTTGGGATTAAATATTATGTCCACCGGAAACTAGCGTAAATATACCGTCTGTTCCTCTACGTGCACCCGAACATAAATAACTGTCATCGATCTATCAAAAGATAAAAGTGCGTGTTTTAGGCCCGTAAAATTTTGACTTCGCCGTCTGCAATGATTCAGTAATATGTTCGTGTAAGTGTAAGAATGCAAAGAAACTACGGAATTTCTCAGGTTGAAAAATATATATAACTATATATTCTCCGTTTGGTTAGATCACCTGTTCGGTGTGAGTTTATGAAGTTGATTATCATCCGGATTAGAAAACTAAGTGCGGTCGGCGGGAAATAGTTGAGCCCTAAATCTGCATCGTTTCCTTTCTCTCACTGCATAACTTCTCCTTTATTGCACATTGTGTAATGACTGAGTTCATATCTTTGCAGAATGATTACGTTGAGTTGCCAAAGAAAAACCCTACCTATTTTCTCAGCTACATGCGCATGTGCTGAACACTAAATTCATATGAAAAGAGCACTCGGCAAGCGCGTGACGGCCTTAGAAAATTTACGTAGCGCGTGGTTCAGCAAAAAAATTGGAATTTAGGCTAATGTCAGATATCAAATTACATTCTGCCCAATACAGGAAATTTGATCGCAACATATTTCAACACAGGAGGAAAGGGAACCTTTAACAGAACTAAGTGATCCTACGCGAGCTTTATTTTCAAGATCCCGATAAGAAAATCGGCTGTGCAATTTCCCTCCCTTCCGTTGCTTTTATTGTTTGCATTGTAGCTCCATAGGAATAAGATAGGGCATGCACTATGTTAAAATGGTGTTTGCACAACGCAACCGATCGTATTGAACATATTCATATAGTGATTACTGGTTAGAGCACTTTATAGATGCGCTTTAAACATGCTTATGTTTCTGATTGAAAAAAAAAACCTTGGGTGAATAACGTTTGTATTCACTCGACAAAGTCATTAACACTAAAGTTGTTGAGCATTTTTGACAATTTTTCATCATGATATACTTGGTCTGATTCCTGTTAGGACGCGCTCAAGGAAGCGAGACTATCTTCCCAATTTGTATACGCTAAAACTCACACCAATACCTCCCTACAAGAGGATAAGAACAATTTGTAGTTAAAGTGACGAGGATCTTGTTAAAAGGATGGGGTTTGCAGCTTGTGTTGTTTTGAGTCAGAACCAGCTGTTTATGGCTAAGTAAGTCGGGAAAATCTACTGTCGTTTACGATATTGACATCGTGTATTTCCAAAATAATTAGTTCTTTTGGTCTTTTGCACCCGCTTAAGACTGTACCAAAGCAAAAAAAAAAAAAAAAAAAACACTTGAAGCAATGCTGTAAAAAACAATGATCAAACTGATCTTAATCAATTTTACAGCATGGTGCAAGAGCGTCATTATCGTGCCAAGTAAAATGCATAGCCTAAGGTTTAAAATATCATCTGACACGTCAACACGGAGTATTCAAATTTATCTTTCGATTCAATACGTATGCTAATTATCGCCTTTTATTCTTCCCCAGCCATTTAATAAAACGATTTGATAAGCAATGAAAAAAGCGTCTTCTTTCAAACGGTCTCGACTATCTTGTGCCTATAACCAGATCATTCTTTCCATTCCACGCATCAAAATTTCACCATTGAAGACTTTATTTCTTGTTAACATAGCATCATCGAAACGCAAGGGAGGTTGGGAGAATTCATAAAATATTTCATCTTGATATTCCAAGCAACTATTCAAGAGGATATGCAAGAGATTAAAAAATAACCCTCAGGTATAAACTACCCAAGAGGGTATAGAAGAGATTAACAATTAATCCTCAGGTATACACTACCCAGGAGGGCACGAAAAATTGAATTCCCACTAATTTATATCAGGAGACCGCTCTTTGTCTGGACTCTTTCTTTTGACTGAAAGTTAAGGCATCCACCGTTAACTTATATAATTATTATCCTTTACTAGTTCCTGGGTGTCTTTGTCAAGCTCGGCTATTCTTGACAGACATCATTGCGGAGTGGAGTGATAAAAAGGTATGTTTAGCAACAATGAATTAAACGGCGAGGAATTCTTAAACTGAATCAATCTGTTCTTTATCTAGATTTATAATTTTGAAACTATGCGTACCGAATTCTTTGAAAAAAAAAACTTTTGACATCGATGTTTAATGCCATATATGTCACGAGATCGATGAAAAACACGAATACATTTTCTCTTTTTCTAACTGGGGTGGAATTTATTAATTAACTGTCTGCAGGGTTTTGGCATCCGTTTAGAGAATAACATTCTACAATTGAAGCCGATAAAAAAGTCGAGGAAGCAGGGAGTTAATTTAAAGGAAAATAAAAGGTAGACCCGTCAAAAGCTGAACTGTCGCTGACGGCATTCATTTTAAAAAACCTTTGTCCAAACTTGCCTTCAGCTTACCACAGTTATTGTTTTTTATGTAGCGTGTTTATATAATAAGCTCAAATGCAACTCCCATTTCTTTTGGTGCAAGATTGTTCAAGCAAAACGTCCGAATAAGTTTTAGTCGACGAACTTAATTCGTTTCTCGCGAAAGAGATCTTACATAATTTTTTTGTGTATTTTTCGAGTGACATCTTGTCACACCAACTTCAGAATTGAAGGTAGGCAACTATGCTATTATGTTCCTGAAACCCTTCATAATATTTCTGAAAGGTTTTGCACTAAACGTCAATTAAGGACAAGAATCGTGAATTACAACTACCATTCCAATTAAAAAAAAAAAACTTTTATCGTGGTCAACTGTTTCCAAATCATTTTGCGTCTGAACAAAACTAAAAACTACATTTGTAAAAAAAGTTAAAACATATCTCTTCCTTTTTTAATCTATTTGTTTATTTTCATCACCTTTGTTATTTTCAAGTATTATAAAACTTGAGAACACACGTTACCAGAGTTCAGTTTGTTTGAATGAGATAGCCCAATAGAAGCCACCGAAAATATCATCCTATTTCCGGTTGGATTTCGCTTGGGGTTACAGGGTGTTCCAATAACGAGATGTTTATGTCTAACCAATCAATATTTACTTAACATTTTTATAGAATAACCACACGATGTATTAGAACTTCCGGATTGAAGCCCACTCATCGCCCAATTCTTCAATCTTATGATACACAGGAGTTGCCCTCAGCAAATGCCAGTATGCTTATGTTTTATAGTTCTTCGCTTGAAAACAACGCCAATGCGATAGATTGTGTACCGTATTAAAACTCTTTTGAAGGAGGTAATATGACATATGATAATACTCGATCGCTTCTCACTGAAAGAAGCCACCACTATTTTTTTTCCTTCATAAAAGGACCAATGAGACTAAAGGCTTTTTCTGCCAGGTGCGGAGTAATGGTGCGCCTCATCAAAATAAGAAATTTACTATATCAAAATAGCTGTATTAGTTTACATTTTCTCATAACCCAGAAATAATAAACTAATGAAATACGTTTTTAAGAAAACTAGTGCAGGAATCATGTTTTAAGTTAGTTTGCTTTTGTAGATCAGTATTTTGCCCACCGAAAGTTTTATCGAGTATCTCATCTGTTCAGCTGCACAGATGGAAGAAATTACCATCTATCCATCAAAGAAATGAAGCTGATCGTTGTAATTGGTAACGTTTACATGGTATGTTACTAACTTCACCGGTGGGACTGATCCTGTAATACATGTGCGTGGAATAAACGAGGAGAAGTAGGAGTCCTCTGGTCAATTAATGTCATGGGAACCGGAATCAGTCGGAGTAATATTTACCACAATGTTACATGTATTATAACGACACGCAGGGGAATCCAGCATCTCTTTGAGTCTGCGAGAAGCACAAATCACAATAACATCGATATTTGTCTATATAGTAATTGGAAGAATATAATTGCAAATAATATGGAGAGAAGCTCGAGCGCTCAAAGAAAGGTGCGCAATGGAAGCAAATGTGTGAAAAATTTCCTTTCAAAGAGACCAAAAGTGATCTTTGTAGGTCAATGTTAGAGACCGGTCTGGAGGGTGTAAAGGGGGGGGGGGGGGAAGAATTAGGATAAAATTTACCTTATTCTCCCCCTTTCCCAAGCGATTAATAATAACCGATTCCGTCATTAATTCTGACTTCAAAACAATGCAGCATCGTTACAAAGAAAATGAATTTTGACCTTTAACAATCAACGTTTTGATGATTATTCTAACCGAAGTATTTTAATTTCCTAATTACAATTTCCATTATTATCAGTTAAAATTTTTGACAAACACGCATTCTCAGAATAAAACCTTTTCACTGCTGCTAAGCATCAACTGTTTATTGAAATGGCTGGTGACGGTATCTTAGCTTCCAAAATAACCAAGGATTATTGCTAACTCACCATAAAAGCGCGTTTATTTGAGTTAATGTCAATAGATCTGAGAACTTTGTTCCTTTTAGCATCTATTAAAATTAGCTTAAGGCGATGTTAACATGGTATTGTATTTATTTCACTATAACTGCTTTCTTTTTTCAAAATAATGGTTCCTCAGGTTTCGCTGATTCCACCGCGATGCACTTTTCCATCAGTTGGTGGAGGGAACTTTATAATTAAGAATCGGCAACAAGCGAGGCTTTTACAACTTCGTGGAGTCTCATAAAATATCTAAGGCGTCCGCGGCCGCAAACCCAAGAAATATAATGAAACAGAAACGATACTGGTGAC